AACTGCTCTTCAGTCTGTGCACTTATTACGAGATATCAATGCACACAGTTGTTGAAACGGTACATTGCTAAAATACCATGGATTTTTTTCTTGCTGGCAGATAGTACAGTGCTGTTAATTCCAGTGGTTTCTTAAACATGAAGCAGTACAGATTCTATAGAACTACCATTTCTCTCCTGACCTGCTATCTGGAATTTCAGTTATTTGCCTTACTTGGGGCAAAAGTTCATTCGAGCAGAATGGACAATTAGTGCAAAACCAAAGTGGTCTGTACAGATCCATCTTGGTACCAGTAGTTGTGCCACTGACTTGAACCTTCAAATCCGGAAAAACATAGTCAAACTTATTTTATTCCAATTCTGTTTATTCCATTTGGCACGCATCAGTATTTCATTAAACATTCATGAAAAGGAATGCCACTTCTTCATATCTCACAAAGCAAACTGCCAAGACTTTAAAGTTTTGATCTACTAGTCAGTTTTAACATGCCAAAAATAAATCTTCTCTCCCCTCAAATCCCTTCCACACCACACTCCTGTGGGAGACCACACGGATTAAACTAAAGCTTCTTTTTTTTTTTTCCTTTTTTGAATTAATTAAGAAGCCTTGGGTCATATACTTTTTATGCTCAGATTCAAATAATTTATTTTATCTCCCTAAAGATCCCTTTGCATAACCATTCCAAATCCACAAAGCTCATTTTCCACCCCACTCAGTGAAAGTCCGTCTGAATATTAACTCAAATGAAGACAAAGTGTGAACTTAAAAGCAGAGTAGGCAGTCAGAAATAACCTTCTTATGCTGACAGACCTGAAATTCTAGTTTAGCCCAAACTGACAACAGAATTTCCCTTCAATTACTAGGTACGTCTTAAAGTATCAAAAAAATCAATAACCAAGAAATTATTTTAGTCTCTATAATCACCCACAATCAACAATTTAAGAAAAAAGACTTTTAGATAAGCAACAAATTTTGACTTAAAATTGCACTGGGACTGCGCATCTGAAAACCTCCATCCAAACTGCTTAAGGGTTTTTCTAAAAATTTTTCTTGGCAATCTCTTGTCATAATGGTCTAGCCATGCTAGGTATCCATGTCAGTACTTCCAGTACTAACAATAAAAAAGCTTCTTTTTTCTTAACTGGAATCCTTAGCTTAATATCACAGGCAGTTTGTTCTGAAACAAACAAAAAAGTGGAAGTGATTAAATAATAATCATTGGATAATGGAATCCAACATGAAACATATTTCCTTCACTCCCCCAAAAACTCACTCCATCTGATTTCTTTTAAGGATTTACTAAGACAGTAATTTTGTTTGTTTGGGGTTTTTTTCTTTTTGTTTCCTTGTGATATTTTTAGGGGTCGGGGGGGTTTTGTTGCTTTTTTTGTCTGTTTGTTGTTTTGGGGGTGGTTTTGGGGTTTTGGGTTTTTTTTTTGTTTGTTTTGTTTTTGTGTTTGGTTTCGGGTTGGGTTTTTTTTTTTGAGATCACTGGTTTTGAATTCAAGCAGTTCTCAACTAGTAACAGGCACTTCTCAACCTGCTCTTGCTTTGACAGAAAAAACAAATGACCTATTTATGATTCTCGTAATACAATTTAGCAAAGAGCCACATTAGCTATGCTGAAAGGCCAAGTAATGCTCTCTCACTACCTAGGCAGTTGGCACATAGTTCTGGGCAGAAGGCCATGCTGCTGTTTGGATGAGAGACAACAACGGAAGGACTGGTGGGAAAGGGGTTTCCATTTTCCAGTACAGTGAACTTCTTACTTCCCAGTCACTCCCAAATGAGGGTTCAGCTCAGCAATATGAGCCATTGTCTTATTAGATAGCATTTTTACTTCAACAAATGCAAACCCAAGACAAGTTATGAGACAGAGTTAGCGCAGCACCTTCTATCAAGCTAACACACTTCCACTCAACCTCAATGCAGCCAACTACAAGTTGATTAAGTAAAACTTGCTCTGAAATTTTGGTTGAAAAACATACCCTTTACTTTCACCTTAAACTTATACTTTAGAACTATAGCTTCATTTTGGACACCAGCCTGTACTCCTACAGATCCATAAACCTGAAACAAATGGACCCAGGGCTTGGCTGCAAAACCAGATGAAGGCAGAACATTTGTAACACATTTCTCATACTTCCCCCCGCTTTTGTTTTATACATATTATTTTGGCAAGAACATCACGCTATCTTATGCTGTAGGAACCAACATACAGAAGACTCAAAATTCAACTTCTCACCCTCCCACCCCGACCTCTTACCTCTTTTTCCATCCAGTCTGAGGTGAAAAAGGTAAAGAGCTGAGCAGAATTACAACTCGGAGTCAAACACAAGTGAGGTCAGCAAAAAGAAGACATTGGGGAGAATAAATGAACAAACGTAGCAAAAGACAGCCACACGTGAGACACCAACTACCGATGACTTCTGCTGAGCTAACTTGTATGCTGACCTACTGCTACCTGCCTCATCACCCATCTCTGCAAACAAAATAAAACTTGACCTTATGTTCAGTTTATCTTTACACGCACGTGTTTTAGGGGTCTCAAGCGAAGAACTCTGGGATACAGGAGGTATGCCAAACATTTATTGCTCACTTTGTCTTACAGCACTTCATCCACAAAACCTAGACTAATACAACAAAATTTTAGATCAGTTTTCCAAATTAAGGTATTTCTGTAAAACGTTGGCAAAAGTAGCCTTGCACGCGTGCGTGCGCACACATTCTTTTGTACCATGACTGGTGCACAGTGAAAATGCTCTGCCTGCAACTAAACCCCGAAGCGTTCAGGTAACTGTCACGACTTACCCAGTCTACCTAAGAGCCGGCACTATCGCTACCAACGTAGGAAACGAAACAGCTTCCTAGATTGGTACAGCCGAACCCAAACGCCCATGGTGAACCAGCCCCGCGTCACTTTCAGCCTGCCAGCGGGGGAGGCGAAGGGCACCGTGACGGGAGCCGAGGCCCGCTCAGCGGCCGCCTCGGACCTGCCCTGCTCGGGCCTCGGTAGCCGCCCGGCCGCTTCCTGCCGGCCCCGCCGCAGGCGGGGGCGGGCTCCAAATCTCTGGGATCAGGGACAAAACTTGCCATCTACAGCTTACTGTGTTTAACTAGAGAGTGCCCGTATTGTGTGCTTCAACAAAAGGCTACTGAACTAGAAAAATTTGCTAAATTTGATTATTGGGCCCTCTCATAGTCAGCTCAATGAACTTTAACTATGGAAGGAAAAACCTAGCCAACTCAAACTAAGGCTGACCATTGTTCATGAAGAAATATAGGAAAAGGAAGGAATTCCAGCAAAAGAAATTTAAAATGAGACAGTCAGAAGTGCTGCTATACAAGTGCAGCCTCTAGTGGTCTGTCCAAAAATCATTGAATGCCAAGTAAAAATTATTATATATAAAGGTCTTGGCAAAAACAGCTACATCTCACCCAACACAGCTGATGTTGTGACACTCCACAACAGGAGCATAACCTGTAAGCAAGAAGGCACTATTTCTCATTGATTCTTATGTTTAAAATCTGAATTTGAAAATAAAAACTGCTCCCCCCCCAAAAAAAAAACCAAAAAACACCAACCCAAACTTGGCACTATGAAAAACGTACACGCTACTCCTCGGGATCTTGAACGTTTTCTCTGTCAAAACCTAGGTTTGAGAGCTTTTAGCACCAGGCGCTGGTCTCGCTGCTTCCAAAAGCAACAGAACCTGCAAAATATTTCTGATACAGCTATGTATTCATATATATAGGTGTATACTCAGGCTGCAAGAAGAAAGGTTCCGGTAGTATGCCGGTGTTTCTTTAAAGTCATGAAAAGGTTTCAGGTGGGTTTCTCCTAGAGCAGAGGAGTGGTATTAAAAATCTGATGCCTGTGTTAATAGCAGGGAAATGTCAGAGGTGTTCTAGACAAACTGGTTTGCAATCCAACCTGGGAGAGACAAATAGTGTTAAAAAACGAAATTTCATTTCCAAATACAACAAAACGGAATCTTCTGTGTTACACATTGGGGATTTAAAAGAGATCCCAGCCAAAAAATGGTAACAATTCACCATCTCTCAGTAAGAGATTGCTCAGCAGTAACTAGAAAACAAATTCCTTTCTTGGTGTTTGTTTGATTTACTTTTATAAAGGCCAACCAGTTTGGGGTGGAAGGGACTGCCCTTCCTTTCATGCATCTGCAGATTCAAGACTAAAGGACTAAAACCTGCCTGCTGCTGGTTTAGAAGAAAACCTATATTCAAGGAAAACGTCTTTCCTGCTCAACAGCCGGGTTTTGGGGGAAACAGTGCACTGCACTAGCTTACACCAGAAGCAGGAAAAGGTCTCGGAAGTGTCCTGGATAAGAGTGCTCAGGACAAGCAGATTAGTTCGCCTTATGGGATAGATGTTGTGTTGATCTCGCTGCTCCCACAGCGTGTTGCTACCTAGCACCACAGCAAGCTGGTGGACAGGCAGGCTGGAGCAACACAGCTCCCTTTCAACTTTGCTCCAACAGAGCGGATGCTCTCCAGCATCCCGTTTCAGTGCTGACTCCAAGGAGTGGCTGAATTTGACTCCCACTTACAGTCAAGACCCTGTACACCAGCCTTTTTAGCTGTGAGGATGATTTACTCATGTTTTAGAGGTGAAACCACTCCTGACACATCAAATCAACCGGCAGGAGGTGCAGAGCATCTTAGTCCCTCAGTGGAGTGTTCATTCTCAGGCTGCCCGCCTGTTTTTCTGGCATTACTCCTTTAATTGATGATCTTTCTGTTTAAAACAGAAAACATGAAACCCAAATGCTTATTGCCCAGTAACAAAGCCTTCAGCTGCTTTTCTTTCTAGAATAACCTAAGAAAATGAGCACAGAGAGCCAGTGTCCACCACTTGCGGCAAAGAATGTCTCCTACTTCTGCTATAGCTTTACTGTTGTTACTTATAATTTAGTTGTGTTTTGAATTTTCCCCAGAGTGGGCTATTTCTTATCTTTTCTCTCCTTCATTTTCTGAAGGCATCCAACTATAGAAAACCTGGCTTAAGTACAGCCCAGCGGAAGAAAAGTGGCTTGAAACCTGAACTTACAGAAGAGCAAAAGCAGGAGATCAGAGAAGCTTTTGATTTGTTTGATACTGATGGATCTGGAAGCATTGACATAAAAGAACTGAAGGTTTTCAAGCTTTTTTTTTCTTGGATGGAAATATCTTTGGTCTCAAAATTGTAGCTGCTTTTTCTGTTTGTCCAGCCCTATTTTAAAATAATTTTGGAGTACAAACAAGAGTAATGGGTGGCTGTCAGGACTGAATTTGGGGTGTACTACACAGATAACTTGAGAAAGCTCTGCATGTAATACTTCAGAACAGACAGGCTTCTCTAATACATGGATATTAGGTCAGATAGCTTTGAGTATCTGAGCATTAGAGGAACTAAACAGTTCCTGTGTTTAGGTACACACAGTACACATTTCAGTTTGACTTCTCGGAAGTGGACTTCTGTTGTTCTGGGATGAACGTCAGAACATCAAATTTTTTCTTCATCTCAGAACTAAGCACACAGATTTTGCATACATTCAGGAAAAATACAACCATGTTTTCATATACATAATCCAAAATTTACCTGGTTTTTAATCTAAAAAAGAACAAAACAGAAATTTGAGTTGTATTTCAGTAGCAATTCAGGTAGTGTGTGTGCGTGTGCACATGCATATGCACAGTAGTACAAGGGGGAAGATTATTCTCAGTTGTCTCCCTATGATTTTCTGTCTGATTTTTTTTTAAGCATGAACCTTTTATCTTATCTCCTTGACCCTGATGACTCACATACACAAACTCTGCCTCAATTTCTGTGTATGTAACCTAGAAGCACGAGTTACCTAAGCCTGTGGCTTATCTCAGGATTTATTTGGAAGTACTTATGCTTGGTTAAGGAGAGCGTGTTCTCTGAATGCAGATGATACATGTTGAAATATAGTTCTTAAAATGGACTGAAATGTTTTAGCATCAACCATTTGATGCTAGGTTTTTCTTTTTCAAAATTAATTCAAAATAATGGATATTTTACAATAGAAAGTGTTCCCTTCTGAAAGACAAAATGGAACATTTTCAGTTGTCCCATTGCAAGAAATGGGTCAGAAAACACACTCCAGTAAAACGTTAAGTTTCTGATGAGTTAGCACTTTCCAGTAGAAAAGTGTTTAGCGAGAAAACTTCTGTCTAATACTGATTTCCACTACAACATACAAGAAGAGCGAATGTTCGCAGTTCAAATCTTCCTCTAGCTACGTGTTCTTGAAACTTCAGCCTGTGAAGTAACTACGCTGTAATTATCTGGCACACCAGGACTGTGAAGTTACTAATAAATACTTAAGTAGCAAAATCATTGTTCTAGGCTGGTGAAAGGCCAGAGCCTGGTTTTAAACAATGCTAATATTAAGCATTGGTACAACAATCTACACAACTGGTTTTGCAGCAGTACTTTACTCGTGGGTTTGCTTTTCTTTCCACAACTAGCACAGCAGTCAATCTTTGAGTTGCTGAGGCTGAGACACTTGGAGCCCTGCAAGTTCCCACCTCCTCCTGCCCCCTCCTCCCCACCACCTAGCCAGAAGTGCCGACAGCTATGCATATGGATTTCTTCTATCTCTGTGTACTGGATTATGTAAATTAACTGTATGTAACTCTGCACCCATCAAAATTAATGGGCATTCTGCCCTTACTTTCAGATCACACCCCTGGTCTCCAAACCTCCCTTGAAGTTCCACTTTGATAATCCAGTCCCTTTAGGAACTATGTAGATTGGAACCTTTACCTAATTCACACACAAAGAGTTTCTCTTAGCTTTAGAAATATATCCATGTCTCACATGGATCTAAAGAGAAAATACGTCCAAGTCTTAAGAATATCAAACCTACGCTATTACTATTTGGAGAGATTAAACAAGCAAGTAAAAGATACCAAGATGTTTTCATCGCACTGATTTGTTATTATTACAGTTTTGGACGAGGAAATTAAACAAGGTTTAGTGCGGGTGCTGTCACTATAATTCTGGCGGCCTCCTAACAGAATTCCTTTTTGGTGCAGGTTGCGATGCGTGCTTTAGGCTTTGAGCCAAAGAAGGAAGAAATTAAGAAAATGATAGCAGATATTGACAAAGAAGGAAGTGGCACCATTGACTTTGAAGACTTTTTGGCTATGATGACGCAAAAAATGGTAGGAGTTCTTAATAGAGATTCTTGGGACAGCATGAAAAATACTGAAAAGGAGTATCTCTGTGGCAGGTATTTTCTAATTAATGTATGTTTTACTCTTGTTTTAGAGTGAAAAGGATTCAAAAGAAGAAATTTTGAAAGCTTTCAGATTATTTGATGATGATGGGACAGGAAAAATTTCATTCAAAAACTTGAAAAGGGTTGCCAAGGAGCTGGGAGAAAATTTAACAGATGAAGAACTTCAGGTAAATTCCGATTTGCCAAAGCTTTCCTAACAGGCAAAGACCAATGCTGTAGCTCCTAAAGATCGTGTGGAAATCTATGCGTATACAAAAAGGGCTGAGAGGTCAGAAATATGAAGAGCAATCAAATACATACTTATGTTTTCACATGAAGTGCTTCTGCTTTGTTGTTGTTTTAATGAATGGAAGATCTTGTGTTTAAGGTCCAGTGCCTGATCAAATGTACAATATGTTTTGTAGGAAATGATTGATGAAGCTGATCGAGATGGAGATGGAGAAGTGAGTGAGCAAGAATTTTTGAGAATTATGAAGAAAACTAGCTTATATTAATCTGTTGCCTTGCTATACAGCTCCTCCAAAAGATAACCTGGAAAAGACTTAAAAACTGGGCTTGTGTCTCCTGCATATTGTCTGCCATATAAAGAAAGCCTGAAAGGACAGATTTTCGGTTCATTCTTCTTTTTCAGCAAAGTTAATTAGGGAAGGGGAGATTAGGGACCCAGAACTGCTAAAATTATATATTGCAGAAGTGAAAGGGAAGGCTGAACTGAACCTTCAAGGCAGGGTGGTCCCTGCTCCTCCCCAATTTCACTGATTGCCATTTTGGATAAAGAACACTGTGTTTCAGCTATTTACCTAAAAGACATTTTACTTGAGATGTGAAGATTCCCACTGCTGCTGGGAAAGGCCACTTGTGACCTTCCTAAGGCTACAGAATGAAGGTAACAAGCGCAGCTTTTTTATTCCTTTTAAGGCTTTTAGGTTATCTTTTGGTATTTGTCTCCTTTTGTTTGTTTCTGTGAAAGACTCTAAAACCAACTGCATATCTGTCTATTTCTGTATGAAACACTGTTTTCCCATAGCAAGTTGGTTTTGGACCTAATGGGAAGCAAATGTAGATAACCAGATTTGGTTCTTCATTTGGAGCTGTGTGCCATCAGGAGATGTTCTTCTATTTATCTGGTCATCCAAAACCTAGTTTACTTGAATGTAACCTGCTTGGATTATCAAGTTTTTTGTATAACCAGTCAACATCTTGTGCCATTGTTCTTAGTCCCAAGACATTACAGAGCTGTTTTTATGCCAGGATTTCAGGTACCTAAAAAGTTCAGTTCTATGGTGCACTAGGGTAAATTTTGTCTTAGGCTGTTTACAGTCATGTTGCGGGGGTGACTTGCCTCTCAAGTGCAAAAATAGCTCACCTTGGACATCTGTGGAACACTGAATATATTTAGATCCATACAATCCAAATTCATTTCAGACATCACAGGTTTGGGGTTGGGTTTTTTTTTGGGGGGGGGGAGGGTACCTTAATTTTTGTGAGTATTTCTTGCATATACTGTCAATCTAGGACTTACTGGAAACCCACATTTTCTTCTGTATTATGATGACAAAGCATTGACACACAACATGACATCCAATTATTTGGTTCTGCAGGAAGGTTTATCCTTGGGTCCTGATTAGACAGTCAGCTTCAACACTGCAGGGAAAAGGTATAATCCTAAATCCCATCTGTCTCTAGTAAGGCACCAGAAGGAGTTTGTTACTGTTCACACTGAAGTGGCAAGTAGGTAGCAAAATGCCAGAAGGGTTCAGTGGGAGGGAAAGACCAGTATTTCACCAGTATCTGTTAAGATCCCATTTTTCTTCAGTTAGCATCTGCTGCTTGACAGCACTAAGGAGGTTTGTAGAAGAAAGGAAGAGCCAGCTCGTCATTGCAGCTGCTTCAGCTCTCATGAGCTGTAAGGGCCCAGCAGGGGGAGAATGTTTCAGGAGCGGAAAGGAGAAAGTGTTCATTTATGGATCTTCTCAGCGTGCAGATGCAAACCTGGCACATTCTGCCTCAGTCCTCCCGGTTTTGTACTCTGAACAACTCTAAATAGACCTTCTCTAACCTCTACAGAAGTAGGCTTAAACCTGGGGGAGAACAGGGATTGTGTAGGACCCTGGAAAACTCAAGAGACCTGTGAAGTCCCCTATTAACATATTCAGTAGCAGTAGATGTAACCTGTGGTCCTGTAAGCATTTTAAAATGTCTATTAACTTTGTCTAAGTGTGAAATAAAACTGTTTTGCAAGTTAAGGACTTTATGTGCTTTATAACTTGGTGTGCTTACTATGAAAAGTAAATTTTCAAAAATAATTTTAAAGCGTTAAATGGTTCGCCAAGTACATTTTCACTTTCATTTATCTTTTCTTTCCAAGAGAAATTCTTAGGTGCAGTAGTCTATCACATAAATCCTCTGCCTCTTCCACTATGCTGATTAAAAGTTTCTAGTACTAACCACTTATATTCAGAAAGGGAAATTTGAAGTTCTAGTTGATGATGGGGAATCCCAGAGCCTATTAGGGTGACTGTACTTTTTTTAACGCTGCCACAGGAAGAGATTGATGACTGTTGTTTACCTATGATGCATGTCACTTCTCTCTTCCTGTTCTAGTCCCATTACCTGACTTCTGAAGGTAGGAAAAAGACACACAAGCATACCTACCGTATGCACTACGATAATGAAATGTTATTTCTGGCTTGCCCATTAATCTCTTAAGTCTGGAATGTCGAGCAGTGGCTGAATTAGTACAAAACCTGCAAGTGTTAACGTAATAGAACAGTGTCTCATGCTGCTTTAGTTCACGTGATAGTGAGGACTGTCTTGTCACCTCTTCAGCCATGTGCACCGAGTATGACAACTACCACAGCAGTATCGACAGCAGCACAAGGCAGTACTCTGGTTCCATGTCACTCATTTTCAGTGCCCTTGTGAATCCTTCCTGTCCCTTCTAGAATTTTATCTTTTACATTTCTATACGTGGTGGAGGAAAAGGAACCTCACTGAAGCCAAGGGCAGAACTCGGAGTTCGGTTTGTGTGAGGAACGGGTGCTGAACTGCCTGTTCAGGAATTTGCTGTGCTGGAGAAAGTGACTCAGATCTATGAACTGGGAAGGTACCCAGCAGGCATTTTTCCTGGGCCCTGTTCTAGTGCCTACTCGAGTAGCTTACCCTAAAGGGACGGGGTTCACTAGAGGAGATGGGTCACTTTCACCCCTCTCCTCCTCTTTACATTCACTCTATTCACAAAAATAAGAGCTGCAGCACTTCCAGGAGACTTGGATTCAGCTCCTTTGCACTAAAAGCACCAAAAAGGAAGCAAAGCAGGGATTTGGGTCATCTTGCATGAAAGGACCCATCCCTCAAGGCACCTGAATCCAAGAGGTCATCAGTGTGAGTGCGTACTGACTGGCACCTGGTGCAGAAGGGAAGGCTTCAGTCCCAGCCCTGCTCGATGTTCCCTACCGACTGACCTGGGCAGCTCCGGAGGCAGCAGGAGGCAAATGGCTGTGAATCTCATCCTTTGCATCCCTTTTCCCCTTTGTGCCGACAGGGAGGTTGGGTTCTTACCTGGCATTTGCAAATTCCCCTCAGATGGCTGCAGTTCAGACGCTGCAATATGTGCATCCAGCTGAGACCCTTCCTGCTGCAACATCAGCGAAGCCCGGTTTTCAGTCTGAGTGCTCGTGCTAGGCAGATACTGTACAAAAAAGAAAGTGGAACTGCAATTTGTATTTGGCAAGCACCTAAATATCAAAGCATTGATAAGGGTGATGATATTGCAAATGTCTTCCAACGAAAAATGTTTTCAAATTAAAATGTGCTGGGCTTTTATTAAAAGACGAAATGCTAAAGAGAAAAAAATACTTACAAGTTGTATTTCAAAATATGCCAGCTGCATTGCAATTTTAAACTAACCTTTGCTGTTATCTCCACTATGCAACTTAGAAGTTCTTTATCAGCTCTCATCCCCACAGTAAAACAAATCTTCAGCTGGCTTTAGAAAAAAGGCACAAAACAAAATGTGACTACCTAGTGTGCAATGGTGTTTTAAGTAATCTGCGCTGGCAACTTGGAACACTGGGCTGTTGCGCTTTCTCACCACATCACAGTGAAAAGTGGGTAAAGGCAGCAAGCCAGAAGGCCGTTCAGTTCTTCGCAGTTAGACCTGTGCCAGGCGCGTGTAAAACAGCAGGCTGGCCAGGCACAGGTGACTGCAAAAGACTAACATCGCAGAAATATAATGGCTTCTTTTCAGGTATTGGTATTTAAGAGGATGGTCGGGGTGAAGCAACAGAAGAAATCCTTGGTGTACTTTCACATGCCAAGAGTCCTACTAACAGAACCCAAATATTTCAATAAATTGACACAGCATTTAATACTAAAATACTTAAATTGGTCATTCACAGTTTTGAGAAATAACTCTCATGTCCTGCAAACTGCTCGGTGAAGTCACACCACATATTTGAAATGTTAAGCATTTATTCCCTGGACACCTTCTCACTGAGTTCATATAAATCAAATACTGTCACACTACATTTGCTTTTAAACACCCCTGGATAGCATCAGCGGATTTTGAGAAAGACTCTGGCAGTAGGAAGTGCTCTGAGCCAGAATTCACCGTTGCCACATTTGACACAAGGAAATGCTGGCAGAACACATTTTTCTGACACGGGTTAAATCTCTCTGTGACCCCAACAAAAACACTACAGTACCACACTACTTAAATCTATTCCATGCACTGGCTGGTACTTTTGGCAAACTTTGCAAGCGTATCGACATGATTAATTGCCTTTAGGTGCTGTGTTTTGTTGCAGACGGCCATCCTCCCAAAGTATTAACATTAAAGCCAAATCAGAACCACTGAAACTGTGTCTAGGTACCTTTGTCAGTGTCCCCCCTGCTCACTCAGAACTCATTCTCCCCATTACATTTGTTTGAAAATTATTTCTGTTTCCTTACACAGATAAAAACGAATGAAGGTCAGAAAAATGCTGCTTCTGAGATGCTTCGAAACACAAGCTTTGTTTTAAAACCTAGTTACATATGCTAACAGAAACTAGCCACAGCTGTCTGACATGTTTAATAAAAATCAGGCATGGAGAGCAAACAATGAGATAGTTCGGGATCTAGCAAACAAACTGCTCTGTCTACAGGCTGGGCTGATCCTTGACGCTTGAGGAAAGAAACCCTATGAGGATAATTCTGCAAAGACAGCTTCCTTTTTGTCATACGTATCAATATAAATAGCACTGCTGCGGGTGGACAGTCGCACCAAACACCACCACTGCACACCGCTGCCTGGGGCCACGGGGCACACACCTCCACGAATCGCCCCAGCGAACAGGAGGCCAGGATTGTCCCCCCGCTAAAGCCCAAAGGTTCTGCCAAAGTCTCTGCTGAGCAGGCATAAAATTCTGCTTTCTGTGGGCACTGCACAATCTCATTAACTAAAGGATGCAGTCCTGAATTTTTACATTAAGGAGAAGTGTAAAAGTCTTTTCTCTCTCTAACGGAATAAAGAACTGACAGATCTGAGAGTATGACAGTCTCGCTAGAGGGCATCCAGTTACTAACGTGCAAGATGAGTGATGCTTATTTCCCTCCTCTGTGGCTTTTAATGACGATCGAAAGTAGGCTAACAAACACCATCCAGCAGGGGCTTGAAATATGTGGTTGGATACAGAATTATTTTTTTCTGAAAAAAGAACAACAGGTTTCTCACACAGCTCAAGTGCAAAATGCCGTAATTATTAGTTGGTTGTTCAAAGCTAAACCCCCAAACCACACTTTCTGAAACTCCCACTCTATCAA